AAATAAATAAATAAATAAATAAATAAATAAATAAATAAATAAATAAATAACAATAAATAAATAAAATTAAAAAAAGAAAAAAGGAAAGAAAAAATAAAATAAAATAAACAACAACAAATAAATAAAATTAAAAAAAAAAGGAAAGAAAAAAACCCACCAGCTTTATAAAAAAAAAAAAATAGTAACAGGTAAGCATGACTACACATGACGGAAACATATAAGGAGACTCAAATATACAAACAAATAAACTAAAGCAATAGTCTTTTTTTTTTTTTTTTTTTTTTTTGAGACAGGGTTTCTCTGTGTAGCCATGGCTTTCCTGGACTGGCATTGTAGGCTAGGCTGGCCTCAAACTCACAGAGATCTGCCTGCTTCTGTCTCTCTGAGTGCTGGTATTAAAGGCGTGTGCCACTATGACATGCACAATAGCCTTCTCAAAGGCCTAAAGGCTAAAAAGAACTATAGGAAATGACAGAAGGACTGGCAAAATGGCTCAGAGGTTAAGAGAACTGGCTGTTGCTCTTCCAGGGGGGTCTGGGTTCAATCCCCAGTACCTACATGACAGCTCACAAACATCTGTAACTCCATTCCTAAGGGACCCATGCCCTCTTCTGCCTCTGTAGGCATTATGCATGCTTGTGGTACAGATATCCACATACACACAAACAAAAATGTCAGCGAATTATTTTGCAGTATCTTTTCTACGCTGGGCATGATGATGCACACCTTTGATTCCAGCACTCAGAGGCAGAGGCAGTTGGGTCTCTGAGTTCCAGGACAGCAGAACTACATAGAGAAATCTTGTCCCGAAAAACCTAAATAAATAAATAAATAAATAAATAAATAAATAAATAAATAAATAAAACATAATGACTTAGTTGTGTTGGGCATTACAGGATGGAGAGAACTTGTATTCTGACTTACACACACTAAATTAAAATAAACAAATAAATGTGGTAAGTGATAGGGTCTCTATGTAGCCTTAGCTGGCCTGGAACACACTATGTAGAACTGTCTGGCCTCAAACCCATAGAAATCTACCTGCCTCTGCCTCTAGAGTATTGATATTAAAGGCCTGTGTCACCACACCCAACCAATTAAAGAAAATTTAGAAAAAAGAAAATGACAGAAAAGCAAAGCGCAGGGCATGGCTGCTCATGGCAGCAACTAGAAGGCCAAAGGAGGACAAGCATTTGAGTTTGAGGGAATCCTGGGGTACAGAGGGAGTCCAGGATAGCCAAGGTTACACAGAGAAACCCTGTCTAGAATAACCAAAAACAAAACAAAACAAAACCAAAGAAAGAAAGAAAGAGCTAGGCCAGGGTAGTGTTGTGTGAAGCCTGCAGTAAAGAACTCCTCAGAATAAAAACAAAATGTCTCCAGAGCCAGGTTCATGAAAACAGTGTGTGTGGAGTTTGAAATGTGGCAATTCTCAGAGCTGGTTTCTCTTGGTCTGTATCAGACCTCGAATCCTGATAAGCAGATAAAAACCTTTGAATTGTGGGCTGGAGAGATGGCCCAGAGGTTGAGAGCACTGGCTGCTCTTCCAGAGGTCCTGACTTCAATTCCTAGCAACCGTGTGGTGGCTCAAAACCATCTCTAATGAGATCTGGCACCCTCTTCTGGTATGCAGCTATATATGCAGACAGAATACTGTATACATAATAAATAAATCGAAAAAAAAAAAAACCTTTGAATTGTATGGTTAGTTACAATACCCTATTTTTCACCCACAGAATGCCACCAGATAATAGCTAAGCCCTACAGTTGAGGTTACTCCATCTTAAGGAAACTACTAAAATGTTTCTACTAATGGTTTTTGTTTGTTTGTTTGGTTTTTGTTTTGACTTTTTGGAGACAAGGTTCTCTACATAGGCTGTCCTTGAATTTACTAGGTAGAGCATGCTGATCTTGAACTCAGAGATCTGCTTGTCCTGCTGGGATTAGGGGCACCACTACATCTAGCCTCTACTAATGTATTTTTTGTTTGCTGTTTTTTTTAAACAGGGTTTCTCTGTGTAGCCCTGGCTGTCCTGGACTTGTTTTATAGACCAGGCTGGCCTTGAACTCTCAGAGATCCACTTGCCTCTGCCTCCAGAGAGTACTAATGTATTTTTTAAAAATGCTTTGGTTTATAGCATTCTTTTTTTTTTTTTTTTTTTTTCGTTACTATGAAACTACTTCCATGAAGTACGGTCATTCAAATCTGTGTTTTTCCAGGGTGTGATCACTCACACTTTGATTCCATAAAGGGATCTCTTAATCCCTTTGGTTTGAGAGCTGTATTTCTGTGTGGACGGCCTTTAATCTCAGTATGCTAGGGACAGAGAGATGGGGATAGTGACTTCAAGACTAACCTTGTCTACGTATTGCGTTCCAGAGTAGCCAAGACTACTTACTGAGACTGTTTCCAACAAGAGAGACCCCACAAGGCCAGGTGCAGAGCGGCACAGCCTTTAATCCCAGCACTGAGGAGGCAGAGGCAGGCTGATATTTGTAATCTACAGACGGAGATCAAGGACAGCCAGGACTGCACAGAGAAACTCTGTCTCAAAAACAAAACAACCCCCAAACCCTCAACACCCTCCACCCCCGCCGACAGCAGAAAGTGTGGTTAGGTGAGCAATAAGCATAGAAAGCAGATGAATAGATTGATTGACGGGTTAAGTAGTGTAGAGACGTGATGACATTAGACTTATAATTTAAGAAGCGCAAGTTTGGTTGCTTTCAGTGTCAAATCAAGTCATGATCGTCCCTGTAAATAGCAATTTTAGCACCTCTCGTTGGCACTCGCTAAGTCCCACTGGGAAAACCTCTCTTTTGTTGGCGGCTGCATCTCGGACCTTGGTCCCTGGAGACAAAATACGGTTGTTGTTTTTTTTTTTTTTCCTTTTTTTCTCAGTAGCCGTTGGACTTCTTTTTCAAGGGACGAGAGCCAAAAGAGGTGAGAAGGCTCAGCGGGGGACAGAGCACACAGCACAGACGGGTGTGTGAGAAAGACGGGTGACATAATCGAGCTTGAGTTCGCCCTTTCTCTGGAGAGGGGGACAAGCCGTTTCGAAAAGCCCTCGCGTGTGAAGAACGGACTGGAAGACGGGAAGCGATGAGCAAGACCGCGGTGTGCGCGGAGAGTGGTGGCGGGGCGCGGAGGGGAGTCGGTGACTTGCGGGCGCATCCGGGAGGCGAACTAAGCCGGCCTACGGGCAGCGCGCAGACCCGGGCTCCCAGTGACCTCAGCGGTCGCGGGTGAGTGCGGACTCTGCGTTCCGGCGGCAGGGCGGTGGGCGTGGTCTGCTCGCGCTGTCGTCCGGGCGACCGGGCGGGGCGGGGCCCGGGGCGGGGCCGTCGCGTCACTCGGAGGTGGCGATGGTGCGTGTTGGTGGGGGGGCGGGGGATACGCTGGGCGCGTCCCCGGGGTCACGTGGTGCGCAGCGCGCACAGTCCTTCTGTCGGTTGGTCTGGAGCGGCGCAGCAGGAGCGGGGCCGTGAGGTGAGCTCGTGGCGTGGCGCGGCGACGCGAAGCCAGCTGGTTGGGGCCGTGGCGGGGGCAGGCCCCGTGCCGCGCGCGCGCCGTGCGGGCGGGACCGGGGACGGACGCCCGGGCCGCTGCGGGACCCTGGCTCAGTCCCGTTCCCCGTCTGGCCCCCGGATCACCCTGCCCGGGAGGGAGGCCCGGGGACCGCTGCTGAGAGCGTGGCGGGCATAGGAGCGCCGCCCAATCACTGCGGCTTCCAGCGGGAGTGACGGCCGCCCCGGCCAATCATCGCGCCCCGAGGGGGCTGGGCCGCGAGGTGCGGGCCCGGGGCGCGGAGCGGGCCAGTGGGGGTGGGGAAGGGTGCCGAGGCTGCACCCCCAGCTCGGCCCGCGTGATGGGGCGCAGTCTGCACTGTTGCCCCTGCCGCGGGAGCGCGTCCTCGTGTAGTGCCTTTCTCACCCTGCTCTGGGGAGCACACCCTTTCCTTAAGACCCTGTATATGGGAGTGTCCCCTTTCTCTCTAGTTTGGAAAATCTGGGCGTCGCTCCCCTTCTTTAAGCTCTAGTCTTGGGGGATTTTTCTCTCAATTTCTAACCCGTCCCTAAGAACGAATTGAAGAGGTACTCCCTTTTCTTTGCTTCCCCACACTGAGGAGACACTCCCATATTCAAACCTAATTAACAGTTCTCCCTTTTCGGTTTTGGGTTCAGTTAGTTGATAGAGGTTCCTCGGGAGTCAGGTCACTAACCAAAGTTTGAACTACTTTGTTACATCCCCCAGCTCAGAGCAGGGTCCATTCCAGGCCCCAGGTCTGGTATGCTTTCACAAGTTAGTGAATTGGGGGTCAGTTCTTTTTCTTAGTCCTTGAGTCTTGGGTGCGCACCCCTTTCAAGTTTACCGTCCAAATCCCCATGCTTACGGCACTGTTAGCTTCCAATTTCCCCTCTGAGGGGATCGATTCACTGACTTGTCCTTAAGTCTGTCCTTGGGGTTGCACTTTTTCATGTGTCCTCCAAGCTAACTTGTTTCTTGGGGGAGTCTCTCGTTTCCTATCTCCGAGTGTGTTTGCTGGCTGTGTCCCTTCAAGGTTTGAGATGCATCTCTCAGCAGGAAACATATCACCCTGGGGGTGCAGTGCGTGCTTCTGGGCACACCTTTCTCCTGAATCCTCCCACTCCTAGATTCAGTCTATCTCGAGCATCCCCCGCCCACTCATTTTTCCACCTTTTCCTTTTTTGTAACTGAAAATAAATATTTATTTGGTGTGTGCCATGACGGCTTGCAGGAAGTTCTTCATCTGAGTCCACTTTGTGGGTCCTAGGGATCAAACTCAGATGGTCATTCTTGGCTGTAAGTGCTGAGCCATCTAGCTAGCCAGTCCTTTTTTGAGACCAGTTCTTGCTTTGTAACTATCCCTGGAGCTTACTATCCAATCCTGGCTGGCTTTGAAGTTATGGTCCTCCTGCTTTGGTGCCCTGAGTTGCTGAGGTTACAGATACTCCTTCTTATCCCTTCCTCTTCCTTCCTTCCTTCCTTCCTTCCTTCCTTCCTTCCTTCCTTCCTTTCTTCCTTCCTTTTCTCTCCTTTCTCTCTCTCTCTTACTTTCTTTCAGCTTTTCTGCCATTTAAGATTTCGGTCTAACGTTTCCTTCAGTCTTTGGAACCACATTCCTCTTACGTGTTCTCTTAGGCACTTTAGTGTGCCTCTTTGGTTTTCCTTCCTCTGTTGGGTGCTTATCTGCAAAACACTTTCTGTCTGTGGCCTCCTTTTATTTTTTTCAGGGCAGTTCTTATAGTGCCCGCCCCCGCCCCCACCCCCACTTCTCTTCCCTGGCAGGATCCCCTTCCATGGACATGGCTTTCATTTGTTTGTTGTGAGGCACTCTCTCATGTGGTATTTCAGGTTATCCTGGTACTCAGTAGGTAGCCCAGGTTGGCTTCAAACCCATAGGGATCCTCCTGCCTCAGCTAGGGTTACAGGCAAGAACTACCATGCCTAGCTCACATGGCTTTTTGCATGTAGTTTATCTTTCTGTAAACAGGAATTCTCTGCTGCTTCACTGTTCAGGCGTTTTTCTGGTTTCTGGTTCCTGTTGGACGGTGTTGCTCAGTGATCATAACGCTTCTCCTCTTTCTGCCTCTGTTGGAGGTGGTGACCACAAGGCCAGGGCTGCCTGACTTGTTCTGGAGTTAAAATGGAAAAGAATCCCCTTGTAATTTTTGGTTATTCTTAGAACTCCGATCCTCTGCTGCGTTACTTGTAAGTTACTTGTAAGTTTCTGGTGAAGCCTTCAATGGTTTTTGTAGGTCTGATCCCAGCAATTGAGGCAGGAGGGTTATTGCAAATTTGAGGGCTGCCTGGTCCACATAATGAGTTCTAGGCCAGCTAGGGATACATAGCAAGGCCCTGTTTCAAACCAGCACTCTGCTTAGGTAGTTCTGTTCCTCCCCACACATCCTGCTCCTCCTGCTTTTCCTTTTTCCCTTTTCTTTATTTTTTCTTCTCTCTCTCTCTTTTTGAGACAGGGTTTCTCTCTATAGCCCTGGCTGTCCTGAAACTTGACCTGTAGACCAGGCTGGCCTCAAACTCACAGAGATCTGCCTGCCTCTGCCTCCTGAGTGCTGAGATTACAGGTGTGTGCCACCACCACCGTAGTTACCACCAGCCCCTCCACTTCCACCACCATCACCACCATTACCAGCACTGCCAGCACCGCCTGGCCTGGCAACTCTTTTTTTTGTTCTTCCTGTTCTGGGTGAGGGTTTCAAGAGATCTTTTCTAGTAATGTATGTCTTCTAGCCCATAAGTTACCTTCCATTAATTCTCTTTATCAAGAAGTCACTTGGCTTGAGGGATGGAACTCAGTGATGAAGTAATTGCCCAGCATGTGTAGGGTTCCTGGGTTTGACCCTCAGCATGAAAAAGAGTTGAAACTGGGTGGTGGTGCTGCAGGCCTTCAATCCCAGCACTAAGGCAAAGGCAGGCCAGCCTGGTCTACAGAGGAACTTCCAGGACAGTCAGGGCTCCACAGAGAAACCCTGTCTCAAAAAGCCAGCAAAAACCCCTAAACAAACAATTCAAGCCAACAGTTAGGTCTACAAGCACCTAGGTTATCTTGTCTCCTAGGAGCCTACCTCCCTAGGTTCTCCATCCTGAAATTTCTCCTTCTTTCTTCAGATTTTTGCAGGGGTGTCTCAGCCTTGAGCCCTTGATTCATTTCTCCACAGCTGGAGTTGCAAATGCTTAGGGGATAGTGACTCATGATTTTTCTTCATTTGGGAAGTCCTTGAATGTGCAGCTGTGGGAGGCCTGAGGCAGTGGGGAGGGAGTTTGGATCTAGGAAGCTGTAGTGGTGGGACAGGGCAGGAATACAGCATTTCAAGACCAAGTCCTGGCTCTCACTTGGAAACTGGACATTTGCCAGGCACCTGCTTCTTAGGGATGCTGGGGGATTTAATGGTACCCCTGGGAGCCTATATGAGTTAATGGGGCTTGTGGGGAGGTGCTCCAAACACAGTGTGAAAACTGGAATAAAATTGTCCATTATTGTGTTTTTGGAACAGTTACGTTGCTTCTCACTTTTTGTTCACCAGAGTCTTAGAACTTAGTTGTGTTATTTCAGAAAGGGAAATAAATCCTGTATTCATTATTAGTAAGTACTACATTTCTTTAAAAAAAAAAAAAAAAAAAAAAGGAGGTCTGTCTGAGTAGTACCTAATAAAATATGGTCTCTGAAGTGAATAGGTAGTTTGTCTCTTTATTGGCCGTTTCTGCTTCATCTCTATAGTGTTGTAAGTACTCCCTTGAAGAGCCCTACCCTTGTGCTTCTCATCCTGGAATATGCATTCAAATTTCTGGCCTGTCTTGTTAAAATGCTCACTCTGATTGGGTAGGTGGAAGATGAGGTTTGAGTTTCCGGGTGGTGTTACAATTAAGGAACTACACACTGGGTAGCCAGATTTTTATGTACAGCTGAACATTGCTCAGTGAAAACAGAAAACTAATTGTTAACCAAATGCTGGACTATTGTTTTCTGTTTTCCCTTTGTTCAGACTCCTCTCTTTCCCTACACTCCTCCCTCCTCTGGTTTTCAAAACAAGGTTTCTCTGTACCCTTTGCTGACCTGGAACTCATGGTGTAAACCAGGTTGGCTTCAGGGATCTTTGCCTTTGGAATGATGGGATTAAAGGCATGTTGCTACCATTCTGGCCAGACACACAAAAGTTGTACAAATCCATTTTTCTCAGACTGATCTTCAGTTATCTCTGTAGCCTAGGCTAGGTTTGAAGGTAAACCTCTTGTGCTTCCCTTAAGCACTCAACCCTGGGATTACAGATTTACACCACCATGGGACCCCCTGGAGCTGAATTATAGCTAGCTGTGAGTCACTTTGTGGGTGCTGGGAATTGAACTGGGGTCCTCTGAAAGAGAAGCCAGTACTCTTAACCCATGAGCCATTTCTCCAGCCTCACTCCCTCACTCCCTCCCCTTACCTCATGTTCTGGTACTAAGGACAGTTTTCACTGTTTCTGGCTAACATTGGCTAACATTTATTTATTTATTTATTTATTTAGATTTATTTATTTATTTATTATTTATACAGCTTTCTGCCTGCATGCCAGAAGATGGCACTAGATCTCAGTATAGATGGTTATGAGCCACGATGTGGTTGCTGGGAATTGAACTCATGACCTTAGGAAGAACAGCCAGTGTTCTTAACCTCTGAGCCATCTTTCCAGCCCATAGCCTTTAGTTTTTTAAACCGTCTACAAAATTTACTGGTTTATCTGTACACTGCCACATTTAATTGCTTAAATATATGTTGCTTAAATGTGAATTTTTTTTTTTTTGGCCTGGGGTACTGAGGTTTGAGCCAGCGTTTTGTACATTCAAGACAAGCGCTCCTGAGCCACTGTACCCCAAGCTCTGATAGATAAATTTGACATAGTCATTCTAGTAAGAACTGCATAGCCAGCTTGTTCCTGACTCCTCTCTTGCCACTGTGAGAAGAGAGG